TATCTGCTTACGAGAGGAAGGCCCTCTTCCCTCCTCCTCCTCCCCTCTTATAGGCCTCGTAGATAATAACGATCGTGTCGTAGAGGGAGCTGCCCCGAATGCGTGTCGAAGCCCCTCGTGAAGGAGGAAGAACGTAATTAGCCCTTGTGTAATTGCACCCATAAGGATCCCTCTTCTCGAGAAAACGGAACCGGAGGAGTCGGCAACATTTCGTTTCTTCCTTCCTTCCTTCCTTCCTTCCTTTCTCCCTCCCTCCCTCCCTCTTTCCGTTTGTCCTTCTCCCTCGAGCGGATTCGTACCACGTACGTACCACGTCTCGATCGTGTTTACCCGTAATAAGGCCTTAATCGGGGCTAGATTTAGTGGCGCGCGGCCTTTTTTTTGAATTACACCCTCGTTGCACGCAACGATCGGCGGCCCTCCCTCTCCTTCTCTTCCCTCGCGGTGTTCATTATCCACGCCCCTTTCGAAGAGGAGAGAGCGCGAGAAGCGAGGGACACCTCGTGAATCCGGCTTAATTTCGGCCGCCTCAGGCGATCATTTCGCCCAATAAATCTCGTTTACCGGCGAGAGAGTCTTGTTGGCAACAACACGGTCGCAATTTGCGGTATTTTCGGGGCTAACTGGCCGGGGCGGAATTGACTTTTTCGAGTGGCTCGCCACCGCCATCGGAAATTCACTTACACCCAAGATATCGGGACAGGGGATTCCATTCCTTCCGGATATTTTATGACACCGATCTTTTCGCGCCGTTTTTGCATTTATTTTTATTGTGAAAGAAGACCGGTATATATGGTATATATGGAACTTAAGGTGAACGTGTTTTTGTGCTTGTTTAAAAAAAAAAAATGAATCAATCGTTTATGTATATGCGAATTACTTATTTCTATTTATTTTTGTTTAATAATCTATAAATTTAATGATCTGTTTTCTAGTTCTTCTTTAAAATGTTAGAGGATTCTTCTTGGTTATTTTTAGTTAAAATTCAATAATAAATTTATATTAATTTTATTCGAGAAATTATAAATCTTAACGTTCCCGAATGTGTAATTTTAACAATCCGTATTGGCCGATTCAACGTGCCATTCTACTGGCTTAATAGTTAGTTGCAGGAATACTATGGTGAACAAAGTTGGAGAATTGTTCCGCTTCATGAAACGTGGTCGCTTAATAGTTAGAGGCCGTCTCGTTGAAAGGTTATCATAGTGACCCAGTTGGCTCGAACAAACGAACGAACGAACCGTATTTAAAGATAAGGATCCGCATTTTATAGTTGAACGCTCGTAAATATAAAAAACGATGGATATTTTGATGCGTTGAATAGAATGCGTCACGTCGTAACCAAAAGATTTCTAGTGGCACTGATATTAATATTAACATTAATGCCACAATATAATTTACACAATAATAATTTATCTTGAATAAGAATTTTAAAAATTGAACTGGAACGATTCTCATTTGTTCCATCACCTGAATATCTCGCGTTATTTCTCTGCTACAAACCCGATAATTTCATCCCGCTTCGATATCGTAGCCAAGTAATTAACCATCATCGTTCGAAATAAAACACAATGTGTAAAATAATCTTCGTTCTAACGATATCGTTCAACAAACTTAAATTGCTCTCGAAATCTTTCTCCATTAATATTTACCTTGTATACGGGCTCTGTAATTTTCGTGGTCGATCTTGCACAATTTTGCGCGAAACAAGAATAACCCGTTTCTTTATTGGCACTGTATATAGAGTGTTCGAATGAAAAAGAAAAAAAAATTAAGGAATGATTCTTGAGGCTAAAATAAATTTAACAAGTGATACAAAATATTTATATAGATTTAATATAATATTTTATATAGATTATTCAGAATATATCGTATTATGCAAAACAAATGTTAAATTACATCCTTATATACTTTGTATCAATAACAAAATTGTATTCATACAGATATCACAAATAAAACTCTAATTTTTCATATGAAAAAACGCGAGAAGAAAGTAGAAATTTTGTTATCAAAATCTACTCAAAAAAATAGAGAAGACAATGCCATTGAAATTCCTTTTTGTTTTATTGCGATATCTCAATTGGTTTCCGAGATATAAGAATTCAAAGTGTCCATAGCGGTGGAGACATTATGAATGAGTCCGCGACTCCGTGACCTACATTTTTTCCTGGAAATGCGTACTACGTCCTTCCAGGACGTTTTTCTAGGAATCGTGTCTGTCGCTTGTCTGGGATTTGGGGTAGGTTAGTGAGATGAGGTGCGAGCGAGAGATCCGAGTAAGAGAGAAGGACAAGAATAATAAACGATTAAAAATTACTCTTTTCTTTGAACGACGATATCTCGGGAACCGGAAGTCGTATCGAGATAAATGAAGAAGCATTTTAAAGAGGAAGATCCTGCGCTTCTAACGATCTTTAATTCGTTGACCGGAAGTTAATATCTTCGGAGTTATGACCGTTCAAAGTTTTCGTAATTTTAATAAGATTTAATCCAAGTTTAAGGCAAACGATTAAAAATTACGCTTTTCTTTAAACGACGATATCTCGGAAACCGGAAGTCGTATCGAGATGAATGAGGAAGCATTTTAAAGAGGAAGATCCTGCGCTTCTAACGATCTTTAATTCGTTGATAAGAAGTCATTATCTTCGGAGTTATAGCGGTTCAAAGTTTTTCTAATTTTTATATGCTCTTAAACGAGTTTTAACGTAACATTACGTGACAATCGCTCGTGTTCAGGAATATTTTAGACAATTTTTAATAATTAGAATTCCAGAATCAATCCTTAATTTCTCTTTCTACGTATTCCATTCGTTCCATACATTCTGGATGAATGAACATGAATGACGCTTAACGACACTGGCAACATTGTTCGCGACGAGGAATTCGAAGCAAGATCTTCGCTTCCCGCCATTATTTCTTGCTGTCTCTTCCGCTCTTTTCGCTCTCTCCCTTATCGCGGCCGTTTCACCTCGCCTATTACGGCGAACCAGTGTTATTGCCTTCTTATTAAGGAAATAATTGCGATGTTTTACGATCGCATTCCTGATCAATTATCCAAAGAAATGGAGCAAAACGAATAGGGGTTCCCGCGAAAGTTGTTAACGAGCCTGGTTGATCGTCGCGCAAAATCGAGACCCACGGTACCCGATTTCCTGCTTGGTAGCAGGAATTTTTGATACGACTTCTTGGTAAATGGATTACCTGGATGTTCAAGATTAATAGGATGTACGAGATTTCCTTTTGGAGTTCATTTTACTCGAGATTTATACTCGAGGTATTAAAAATTTAAAATTTCTTTGATTTCTTTCTTTCTTTATTTTTTTGACACAATTTTTTGAATTCGAAATCCAAAAATTGGAATCCCGTACATATAAATTCGTGATTGAAATTAAAGAAATGAAGTTTGACTTGATTTAAAAATTTTTCATTTCCAAATATAATACATCATATAAAAATCTGAAGATCTTTCTTTAATATTTCTAACTTTTACGCGTGCTTACGTGTTTACAAAACATTTCCAATACACGAGCATTCTTCCAATAATCCAATAATCTATTCCCCGAAATTCCGACAAAACGGCGGATCCTCTAATTATTTTAGAGAGAGGAAAGATCCGCGATTGCCGCGACAAGAAAAAGAAGATTGGAGCAGGGGCCATTAGCGAAAGAAAGCAAGCGAAAAATTTGTCTCACGGTCATGGCGCTAATTCCCGGTCGTGCATGCGTCTTAGAGCTTAAGTGGACGAGAGGGACGGCCAGGGAAAAGGTGAAGTGTTGCCACCCAAGTAGAAACTTCCATCGTTGATTGTTCCACGGTCTCTCGCCGGTAGTGTTGTATACCCTCGTGAAGATTGCACGACGATGCACCCGTGCCTCTTTCTCCTCGATCGACCAGGCCATATGCGAATCGAAACGAGCCGTGAAAGAAAGAGAAGAACTCGATCGTTAATTATCCCATTCCTGGTTGCCTGTTCTGAGCCCGCTGTTCGTTCACCGTCGACCGTGACAATGGCCAGGAAGCCTTGAAAGAAGACCCGTTGGCTTTTATCGACGTTTTAGAGAGTTTCGTGAGAATCGTGGTTGAAAAGTCGCGGTAAATTATTCTCTAAAGATTTTGAATTCGTTTCGAGTTTGGATATAGATGGACAATACTTTTTATGAGTTACTCCATTTTTTCTTTTTATTTTTTGGAAGCTTGAAGTTTGAGACAGACAAGGAATAAATAGAAGATATTTTTTTCTTGATATATAATATCTTTTTGACAAGGAAGAAGTTATTATTATTATAACTAATATATTTGTTTCTTTTTCAGGTGAGTGATTACGATTTCAACTGCAGCAGCTTCGTAGCCAGTAATTTTCATCATTTGTAAGTAAATTATGGAACAATTAACTTAATCTCAGACTAATGAATTTTTTCCAAATTTTCCAGAAAATATTATATCTATATATTATTAAATTTTACGTCGTTTCACTTCTTAAAACTCCGTATGTACATTTCTTAAGAGTTCAAAGGATCGTTGGGCAACAGATTGGCCAACCGTCTCGAAAAGAAAAGTTTGGCAACGTCGTGTAAGGTCGTGCGAGACACCTGCAACAGCTTAATACTTTATAGCGACCCCCTTTGGACTTACTCGTCGGCGATATTTTTTCGAGGGTGTGGGTCGAAGAGCGCCGAGGGCGAGGCGCGATAAAGGGTAGTTGTTCGAGTTCGTTAGAACGGCGAGAATAAAAGGAGAGCCGTGGCGAGATAGGAAGAAAACAGGGCAATTATTCGAGGTGGGACAGGAACATTTTTATTAAAGTTTCTTATCGGCCACCCGCGTGATGTATAACGTCACGCTCGAAGCGGTTCCCGTGCGAACACGATGGCCACTTCCTCGCGTGTTCGAAGAAACGTATCCGCGTTTTCGATCTTTTCGGTTATTTGTCATTTACTTTGTAGGGTTATTTAGGAAGATTTAAAAGTTTTTCGAAAGTTTTTTTTTTTTTACGATGTCTCGAGATGTTCGACGTCTGGGGTCTATTTTCTATTAGATTTTCCTCGTTATAGAGAGAGATGCTAGGAGGGTGTAATTTTACGATGTTTACTCGAGAAGGGTTGCGATGATGGTTTTGTGTTACCTTTTATTATCCTTATTTGTTCCTCGTGTTGATTTTACATGTTACAATAAATGTAAGTTGATCTTTGTTCCTTTATTATTTCGTTATACTTCGATTCTTTATTTTTTTGAAAGATAGAGAAAGGTATTTTTCTAAACAAAGATTATAAAATATTAAGGGAAAAAGTCGGTATGATTTAAATTTTGATATCTTTTTTATGTTGTATATGCATATATGTAATTAATATCGAAAGTTATGTAGAATCTATAGTGTATACAAGTATTGTTTTTAGATAAAAAAAATTTGATAGCAAAATTGATGAAAAGTTCGAGGAAAAATAACTGAGAAATCCGTTCACAATATCATGCATGTTAGAAATTTCAAATATTTAATATATACATTTTCCGAATATTGATTAATTAAGTAAAATTGTGTAGATCACATTTTTATTGGATATATATCGTATTCTATAATTTGGTATATTAAAATTTTCGATATTATTAAATATATTAATATTTCGATATATATTAATTTTTATTTTAAATCGATAATAAATACATATTGCAAATACAAGTATTTAGATTTTGAAAATCGAATATAAAACAACTTCTATCGTAAT